GAATTTAAACGAAAGTATGACAAACGCCTTTGAAGACCATGGGGGAACCTATAATTTGGAAGGGGAAAAAATTGGAAAATCTACTTTAATCAGCTTTGAGGATAGCCTTATCCTGCCAATAAGAAAAAATGTACGGTGCGTGTAAAATTTCTCTATTTAAAAAAGCAGAGAAATGGCCCTCTAATAAAAGTTCCTCCAATGAAATATGTCCTTTATACATATATTTATTTCCTGTGGCACTTGCACTAAATTTAAAATATGTCAAATTTCTTTCCGATTGCCTAACCCAATTTAAGCCTTAACATTTTCTTTTGATAAACTTAGAAATTTTCATCAAACTTTCAGACGGCAAGCTCTGTAATGTTTTGTAAGAAAATATTGTATGTCCTCTGCTTTGAAACGAAGATTTTGAACTTTATTACTTTTACTTTTTCTTGCATGCATTATTTTACCCTTGATTTAAAGCGATTTTCAATATGCATAGCCTTAGAATTTTAAACCAATAGGACGAGTGCACTGAAATCTGCATTCCTGATAACCAACAAAGTAAGAAAATTGCTAGGAAATTTTCGTTGTTCAAAGACCGCAAAACTACCAGCCCAAGTCATAAAAGTAATCTGCCAGCATACATTTGTACGTAAGTTTGTAAATGAAGCCATTGTGTATCTGAATGTATGTATGTAAGTATGTGTGAAATTCATTAAAGAGAACGTGCTGCTTATAAAACCTCCACAAGCGTAATTCTCAGTTTTACGCATAGCAAGTTGAAAAGCGATGCTTGCAAATAATCGATTGCAATTATTCTTCTGCCTCTGATCGCTTCCCACTCCCGCTTTTCACACTCATTTGCAATAAAACCCATACGCTTACAAGCGGTCTGAACTGGTTTTGAGGCGGTGTAGCCACCCAACCCTTCACTTCAGATTCACTAACAATACCCCATTTCTCCGCTTGCATTCATCTATTTAAATCTGACACTTATTTTGCCGACGCCGCTCCCGCCGCCCCTTCTTTTCATTTCTCACATTGCCGTTGCTGATTGTTCAGATGACATTTTCCATCTGCAGCTTCTTATTCTACATTTCGCACTAACATATTTACCAATGTTCGCATGTATTTACGTAAATTTGTATGTGTATATGTGTGTTACTATGTAAAGTTTCATTTAACATTTTGCTTTTGTTCGCAATTTATGCTTGCTCATCATTTTTCTACTTGCTCTCGAATATTTCTGGTATTGATACGTTTCCATTACTCTTCTTGCCTTGACCGATTTATTTCATGCTTCTGTATATCGACAATCCTCGGCTGAGGATTTCAATTCAAGGATTTGCAGAGCAGCTTCTTTGAGAGCTGATTGCGAATGAAAAACGTACAACTCAATTCAAAAGCGAACAGGCCAAGACTTTAAGACTTTATTGTGGTTAAATTGAGGGGAATCGGTTATAAGGCGCAGAGGCAGAAAAGTTAAAGTAGTTTGGTGAATTTATAAGTTGGCCCTTTATCTACAGTAAATATTTAATTTTATTCTTGTTGATTACTTAAACTGTCCTTCTATTTTTTTTGTGACATGACGCAGATCATTGTTTGTTTTTTTTTGTTTTCTAATTTTTATTAGAAGTTTCCAAATAAACTTATCATTTCCTCAAATGAGAAAGATGTTCGACTTAAACTTGTCTAATGCATACTAAGGCCGAATTATTTGAGTATTTGCTCAGCATTTTTTTTTAATGTGGGTATTTAGGCAAAAAAAAGTTGTGTCGCGTCCCTGATCAATAAAAGCGTAACTTGAAACTACTGTTTTTTAGGCAAGAGAAAAAATAAGTATGGTTCTGATATATGTAAAGCTGCTTTTCAAGATTATATGTATATTGAAAAGGATTTCGTGTGAGGTGAGTTGTTAAGTTTCAATTTGGTCAATTTTCATTAAAAGTGTCCATCATGTAGAAGGAACCTCGGTACACTTCGATTTTATGAAGCGGAAATTTAAAGAAGTTCAAATATATTTAACAGGAATCGAAACATAAAAACTAGACGGGATTGACACAAAGTGCTTAGGTGGTTCGTTTTTTATTGTATATTTCAAATGGCTCTACACACTTGTGATCCACTGTTTTTTTAACTGGTGTTTTAATTGCTTATTCTGTATTCAAAGCGCGTTCAAAATATTGTGCTTGTAAGATTTGTTTTTATCGTTTAGTTTCACACATTAGGGCTCAATATAAAGGTGCTGCTTATGTACAAATTATAGTACTTTTAAATTAGAAAAAAAATCGGAAATTCGAGCTACTTATTTATGTAAGTATCTCAAAATCTGATCAACGTAATTCCAAAGAATTTGTGATCCTGTACTGAATTTGCAGCCAAGTATTACACATGGTTTGAAGCATAATGAACCTCTCATCTTGAGTATAATATAAATGCCTGAAAAACCTAATGGAAGTGTTTATCAATCATGATCAGACACTTCCCCTTAAGGGTGTCAGTAATTTGTTGGTACTTTTCGTGCTACCGCCCGATCAAATTTTTATTATTTTTATCCAAAAAAATATCTAATCCAAAAAAGTCTTAACTTGAAATTAAACCGTGCCGAAATCCTGGTACATTTCCATTTAAATTACAATTGTTACACTCTTTGTTTTCAATATTTTTTCCCCCAAAACAAATACTATAAAATCATTGTAGTAGACCAATGTATATTTTAATAGAGAATTCATAAATTTACATCTGCGAAAGTTATTCAAGATCAGTGGCGTAGCCAGGGGGGAAGGGGGGAAATAAGGGGATAGGTCCCCCTTTCGTGATTGAACTAGAATTATTTACTTTTGAATTAATAACACAATATTATTTTATCCTTCTGATTTAAATTTTTTTATTTGCGACGGATGACAAATTATCTTTTAATGAATATATGAGTAGTCCACTTGCAAACAGCCTTATGTGATTTTATAAAAGTAAGCCATGAATTAAAAAAACGTCTACGACAACAAGTAACATCCGAACTGTATCTTTTTTTGTTACCTGAAAATTTGGATAAATAAGAGCCTAATACCATTAAAACAATAAAATTACAGTGTGGTAGATTTGCAAATTTTATATTTAAAAATTTAATATTGCAAGTTTTGAAACAGTAACTTTTACATAGCTAGCTTTTTTTAGCTTTTCACGTTCTCTCCTCTAGGATGATTGGTTTGCTTCTTTTTTGCGACCTCTTCCACTAGGCACCGAAACTACCACGTTTTCTTGCAGTTTTCTAAGTTCATACGAAGAGGAGACTTTTTTATAAATAAGTATTGTAGCGACTTTTGTAAGAGTAGTTAACGTTTCATGCTTATTTTTTCAGAATATAGAAAAAATTTTCACTCTGCTTTTAGTGGACATGAAACCCACCAAAAACGCCTCTAGCCATTGTGTACCACAACTTTAAGTTATCGACGCAAATTTTTTTTAATCGCCCCACTACGCCAAATCTCCTAGCTACGCCACTGTTCAAGATAAAAATGTACATTGTACAGCATCCTTGACCGGTAGGCGAGGACACGCGGCACACATGGCGTATGAGTGATGTGGTAAAATGCAAAGTGGGAATACGAAAGTTGTGGGGGTTTTTTTTTGAGCGCCGAGGTTAATAGTAAACATACACTTGTGGTCAGCTGATCAAGTTAAGTGACATTTTGACCAGTTTTTTTTTTATTTTTCTTTTCTTACGTAATCCCTGTAATTTTTTTATAAAAGTCTGCCACAACCCTGCAGGGAAAAATACTAGTTGTGAACTCGAATAATACCAGTTCGCTTTTCAGCTCAACCAGTTCGTGTTCTATCTTTTTTCCATGGTAGCAACTGGTATTTTTAACACGGCGATGTCCTACGAAATTTCAATTGTCCGGCTATGCACCTGCATATACCAGTTAAAATACCAGTTCGTACTAGTAAAACAAAATAGTAGTCCAATAGAATCCGAAAAAAATAAGTTTGAGACCAGTTAAAATATAAATAAAAACATCCAAATTAACGTTTTAAAATATTTTATTTCATATAAAAATTGTATACAAAACTAGCTTTTTATTAAAATTTAGCGTTTGAATTAAAATGCTTAATCAAAGAAATGCAGTTTTATTTGGCAGCTCTATTCCTTCGGAAACCAACAAAACGAATAAAATAAATAGATATTGCTATAAAAATAAAAAATAAAATTCATTAGATACATACATGGTATCTTAAACAAGTGCTAATATATACTAGGAGTAAAAGAGTAAATAAAATTCTTATATAACGATTTGGTTAGTTAAATTAATATAAATTCATTTAAAATGAAGCACATTTCAGTCATATTTGTAAGTTTCTTAGCCTCTAAGTACATCTGTACATACATATATCTAAATTAAAGGTGAAAACAATTTTAACGTAATTATACATGATTTCTTTGGAAAAAATAAAAACAAAATGGAAACATCCAAACCAAAAAAATAAATATTACATACATTACGTACATAAGTTTGAAAAAACTTTTCAATTTCTTTTGTAAGCTTCTTGCAGGCACAGTAGTTGGTAGGTATTCAAAAATGAATTTAAATTTGCACTATTGGTAAATATATTCTAATTAAAACTAACACAAATTCTCAAAAAAAAATCAATAAAAAATAAAATTTTGGGTATTCATTAAAAAAAAAAATAAAGCCAGTTAAACATCGTGATTTTTATTTGATGAACCCGGTTGCTGCGAAGATTTTTCCGCGAGAGCCCTTTTTTGGAAAAACCTCTTCTTGTTCAACTGGAGTGCTTTTCTTAGTTGCGTTTCTGGTTCATCGGCGCTGGTAAAGCTTATTATAGATTCTGAAACAAAATACATTAATTAAAATATGTACATTTATTATTATGTATAAGTTCATTACCCAAAAAACCCGCATAGAAATTTGTATGTTCTTTGAGGCTCTTTTTCCGTATTTCAGGTTTTTGCTGAGTGAGTGTTGAAGCAGAGTTCTTATTACAGAAATCTGTCGAAAATAAACTTAATACATTGCATTCCGTAATTTTTCGTGATCGAAGACAATACCCACCAACATGGAACGGGTTTCCGGTACCACTTTTTCATTAATCTTAATTAAGTCTTCTGTAGAGGTCAGAGGAAAACAAGATTTAATCGACCCTGCCGTAGAATCTTGCCGAACCAATTTTTCTGTAACTACTTTTTGCTCTGCCAGCGCCGACATTACCGAAGAATTTTGGGCAGTCATGGTTGCTAAAAACAATACAGCTTAAGAATAAAATAAATTCCTTTTAAATATGAGAAATATCTTACATATGATCTCGTTCTTCAAGTTTTCCACCGTTTCTGAAAAAAAAAACAGTTCATAAGCATGATAGGTCAATTTATGATTTATTGTAGATATTTGGTGATGCAGTCGGAATTTTGTAAGCATAACAAAAATAATAAAACACGAAGCATAAAAAATAGTTTACCTTGCAAACTCGTCAACTTCACCTCCAAAGCACAACATCCCGCACATTCTTTAATTGCTTCCTTATCTAGAAAAAATAATTTATTTGTACTGTTTTATATTTAGTGTAGATGCTAGTGCTGCAAAACCATCGATAGTGGCACCATCGATAGTGGCACCATCGATAAGATCGATGGTTTATTAAGGTGAAACGTTCAATGGAAAAGGAAATATTATTTTATTTACACATATTATATTAAATGAATTTAATGATAATATCGATGGTTCCATCGTTGGTTTTGCGGCACTAGGGCATACATATTTTGTCTTTTACAACTTACTACGAGGAGGCATATTTTCGTTATTTTGAAAGCGTACTCGCTTGATATCTTTCGGCATCTCGGACGTTAATATTTGCTTTAAAAATTATTTACAATATATATTGTTGAGTTAAGAACAGCCATGTAACAATGGTGGCAAGAGTATACTATCAGTATGAGGAAGACCCATCAATTTACTTTCAATATTCTCAATAGGGTAATAATTTTCAATAGAAGTTGGTGAACTGTCTGCCATGCATATCCCTAATATCATTGAGTCAACGGGTTCCAAAAAAACACTTTTTAAATTCAAAAATTCTTTGCCTATTACATATTTTTTGTCTTCTGAAAATCCTTGTATTTCTATGGGTGTAAAAGGTTTGATAAGACAAAAACTATCTGGGTTTTTCGTAGTGAGAATATTATCTTTAAAATAAAAACATAAACCCTTATTTTTTAATGATTTGAACCCTCTAGGCTTATCGTTTGCTATAAAATTTTCCTGACTGACTCTACCTACAATTTTTTGAAGTATATGACTTGGTTTTTTAACATATTTCTTTAAAATTTGCAAATATTTTTCAAAATCATATGCCGAAAAACTTGGTAAGGGACCTATTGATTTTACGTTCTCAGTCAGGTGTAATAGCTGATGTACGTTATATGTTACACTGCTGTCTCCAAAAATGTTTGAAAAATTTTGAACAAAGCAAGCATACCTTTTGAAAGGGATAAATTTTTAGCATATGTTTTGGGGCAAAAGAGCATCCTACAGGCGCAATGTAATAGTAAAAACTCATTATATTGGTCATCATGAATATTGCCTTTTAAAACAAGAACACCTGTATATAAAAGCAATTGACGAAATTCATTCGCTTTCCAATTAAAGATTTCATCTAGGGACCTGGGTTTCCTCACAAATTCTTTCGTTATAAAGGGTACTAAAGATTGTAACATTTCAGAAATTTTGTTTTTCTTGGTTTTCTCCACTTTAGAATTTACTTTATCTTGCAGTAATCTTAACAAAAATTTGCGCATTATTCCTAAATCCCGCAAATGCATGCCATCTATAGCTATTTGGCTTATCATTTTTACACCTACGTTTTCTAAAGGCGTCATCGAATTTCTGAATATCTGAATATGATGCGTTGGATATTTTCTGTTCAAAAAATCGTCGTCAGTTAGTAACTCCCCTGGTTCTGAACTATATACTAGCACATTATTAACTTTTCTTCCAGTTTGTGTACATTTGCCGCAACCATGAGAAGAGACATGGCTGGGTGTACCACAAACAAAAGCTTTTGCAGGAGCGTCGCAAACTAAGGATCTTATCTGAACTTTCAATAATTTTCCACCCAAATCAACACCATTTTTCAAAATTTCTTCCATTTCTACAACAAAAGAATTCAAAAACCCAGATATGCTATTTGGCTTTTTATTTCCCAAATAAATGACTACGGGGAAAACGGAAACTTCTGTGAAATCTACTATTCTTACCAAAATTGGCCACAATTGAGCACGAGAGCTTTTGTATAATGGTAAGCCATCAATATTGATGTCGATAAAAATGATATCAACTCCTTCAATTATGTGTGCAATTTTTTGCAACTGTGGCCGTAAGCCAATATGGTCCCGCAGATATGGATTCAATATTTGCTCTATGGCTTTTTTTGGCAAAAAGCGTTTCTGGACATCTTGGAACATCCAAATTTTGTTCTTGCAAAAGAGAAAGTAAGTCCTCAAATGACTTACGTGGCGGTCTATATTTAACGTACCAATCTAAAAGTTTCCTTCTAAAAGAGGGTTCCGTATCTGTATCCGGATTGAAATTAATAACATCTTCAAACTCTGAAGAAAAAGGAGGAGAACCTATGACGCCACTTGAACATGCGCCATTTTGTTCTAGTGGAATTGAAGACTGCAAAATCTCAGAAATTCTATTGGCATTGTTTAAACTATTACAATATACCTCCCTTTGCTTTTTTTTAAGTCTTCTCATATTCCTCTTTCTACTCATTTTTGTTAAAACCTTTAACTCACAATTTTTTAAAACTTTGAAGGAAACTTTGACCACACCGTATTACGCGTCAGTATTCTTTGTAATAGACAAAATTTAGTTATGTGATTATGTTCGTCTAGTGCAATACAATCGAATCGCTTATAGTTTTATCGAAAACATTTTGAACGAACAAATGGCCTATTCGCGTTTTCAATCGATTATTGGTTATATTATAGTATCAGGTAAACGATTAATCGCGAAAAGTTCACAATTATCGGTTTGTTTGGCCTTGCTTACTTTTCAAATTTGTACCCTTTTCTTTTATCAATACAAATTTTGTCCCCCTTTTATGACATTATGTTGATGTTCCCCAGCGCCCTATGAAAAGGTTGAACGAAATGAAAGTTCCAAATTGAAAACCCATTATTCCATCAACTCCTTAACAAATTGTTTTATTAATTTAATATAATTGTACAACTTTTATTATAACGAAAAAAAAGTTACTTAGAATTATTACAAACGATCAATCAATATCTCCTGGGAAACGTCCACAATTACGCTTAAACAAGGGTAGACAATGTTGCACTTTTGTCGGATCAGAGTGCAACTTGTTAAGAAAAAAATTAACAACCTAGAGAAAATGCTGAGAAAACCACGCAAATAAGAAAACACTATTAATGTAAACGTTCAATGTGTAAACTAAAAAAAGGGTTATAGCTTTCAAACACACCTACACATATACATACTTTCCAACTTTTTAAATTATCATATATAAAGTTCACCTCAAACGATGTGTGAAGATTATATATATCAAACATTCCCTCCATTTACTTTCCATTAATTGTCAAAGGAAATAAGGAAACGGAAAAGATTTGCTAAATCGATATTTTAAATCTTCGTAATCGACTATACCTTCAGGATGTTGATAATCGATCATCGCTTGTGATTGTTGACAACTGTCAGCTGGTGAATTTCGACAAATACAAGTTTGCAATTTGCATCTGATTTTGTTTCTGTGCAATAGTTTGCACTTGGCGCTAATACTTTGTAAGTATAATTTTTTGCTATATTGATATGGAATAATATTAACTTTATTAGGCTGTTGTATTTTCAGAAAAATGGTTGCGTGCATCGTCGTCAAATGGAACGTGATTCGAGCCACTCAAATTATTGGTGTAGGTCAGTGTGTTCAATTTTTATTAATTTAGGATTTAACTTTACCCTCTTGCTTTATAGGTCACTTTAAGAATTAAACAGTGTCAATGCAATTTATCAATATTAGTACTCATCGCCTTGCATGAATTCTATAAAAGCAGTCTTCTTCATTGAGTAGACCTACATGTCAAATTCTTGTGAGGATGTTGGGATTTTTGGTTCGTCCGAAGCATTTCCTATTATGTACTAAGTGACGGTAATCAATTTAGCTTTCATTGAATGATACCAATGATGGCATTTATCCTTTTTCATTCTAGGTACACAATTTGAAGCAGCCAATCATTGCATTTGTAGGCATGCATTATAGGGATGTTCAGGATCTTGTGCATATGCTCTTTCATTTGCATATTTGTTGCATTTGTAAATTCACCACAATAAAATGCACACAGTTGCCACGGCAGCAAGCATAAAATTTGCAAATGCAATTCCTACTGCAAATCTAAGACAATTTCGCTAACATCCTGAAGAGCCCTTATATGTTTTATGCACATGGATATACGAAGACGTAAGCAGGCCTGTTGCAGGCAGTGATATTATATTTAATATCAGTGTAAGTGGTTTTGTCTTCTTCCAATAGCGGTGGTGCTGGTGCATGAGGTTAATATGATTGCAAATAGAAAAACGCTGTTCAGTGCAGGAAATATTAGTTGTGTTTTTTTACAAATTATCCAGTAACTTGCCAGCAACTCTCCAGTAACTAAATTTCTAAGAATTCGCTCTCAGATAAAAAATTTACAAAAAAGTACGTGAACGCTTTTCCAGTAATAATTTGCAAGTTTCATGAACAGCTGATAAATTGTTGTTTATTCGCAGCATATTCCTAATAAAACAATATGTTTTAAATTTAAATATGTTTATTTTGTGAATTTCCATAATAAAATGCCACAAACAGTTTCCTTATTAGTTTAAATTTCATCCAGCAACATGCGATCAGCTGTTTTTCGTACTGGCAAATTCTTACAAGTAAAAATTTATCCAGTAAAAACTTACAACTTCAGCTGTAATTTTTCGCTCTCTCAATTTCCCCTACTTTGCAAGTTTTTGCGTACGAAAACGCCAAAACATGAAAATTCGTAAAAACTTTTACTGGATTTTACTGGAAATGAGTAAAAAAACGCAACTATTATTTGATTTGTTTTTTCTAGGTGGCGATTGCACAATTTTACAACCAACAGTATAGAGACAACAAAATCGAACCATATAGTGTATGTGATGGCAGCATGCAGAGAATAAAATTGCTTCGAGTGCTTGCATTGCATTGTTACATAAGTGTATGGAAATAAATCATACGTTAACAGTGTGAAGCAGTTATTTCTATTGGGCATGCACGTTTTAATACTTAAACTCAGCTAATGTAAAAGTTTCTCTTACCTTACTGGGACTTATGCAAAAAAAGTAAGCTCAGACTCAACTTTTGCATTGACGGAGTGAGTTTAAGCTTAAGAAATTATACTGAAAATCGAGTCGGACCCTAAGCTCGCTTTTTATGCATGAGGGCCACTGACTTATGGGGAGAAACTAAATACTACAGTGAATAAATTCTTTGCAAATATTTACTAATTTTTTGCCTTTTATTTCATAGACTCGGATATAGTGTTTTTCATTGCTGATTAATTGGTGCGTCCATAGACATCCTAAACGTTCTTATCTAATGAAAATCTAATAATTTCCAGACAAATTGATCATTTTACTACTGGTATAATTCTAGTCAATGACGAACTAGTATCACTTCCTCTTTTAAATACCAGTATATGAACTAGAATGTTTCCATACTAGTTTGGCACTTCCCTGCAGGGATTCCGTAACCAGCACCACTTAAATCCACATTTCAAACTTCGTACAAAAATTATAAAAACTCAACAAACTTTAAGAATTACACTCACAAAATTTAAACTTTTTATTAAAAAGTTTTAGGTATGCAATTGTGGAGGATACTTTCTATGGAAGAAAATGCACAACACCGTCAGCCAAAAAAATTATTAAAACTCCTCATAAAATTTATTGGGCTATAAAAATGCCAACCTTAAATTTGTCTAAAAACTTTATTAAAAGGTTTCAAATGTGTAATTGTTAAAGGTTGTTGAATTTTTATAATTTTTGTACGAAGTTTTAAATGTGGATTTATGTGGTGCTGGTTATGTATTGTGCGAGACTTAAAAATTATATGTATAAAAGTAAAAAAAAGGAAAAATTGCCAAAACTAATCAAAATGTCACTTAACTTAATCAGCTAACCACAAGGATGCATACATACTAGGGTGAGCGCTATTTCCCAAGTGGAACGGTGGCAAAACAACAAAAACTATAATGTCCACCATGAACGCCACTTTAATCTTGAATAACTTTCGGAGGAATGAATTTAAAGAAAAATGATATGTCATATTTTTTTCAGAGAAAATGAATTAAAGGCAAAATTTCCGAAAAATCCCATGTTATTTAAGTGGGAAATGTAACATGATTTCGGCATTATTTAATTTCAAAGAGAGAGAGCATAAAATGTACCAACTGGCGAAATAACGGACACCCTAATGTGGAGTGTCTGAATTTCGTGCTTGTGAGTTTTCCAATAAATTTGAGAGACTGAATATTTAATAGGAAAAAACTCATATAACCATAATAGTTCCCGTTCTCAGTAGGTTTTGTTTCGAATGCAGCTTTTCCCGTCGAAGCGTCTGTTTAAAAATTAAAAATTATTTTACTGAGAACGCTATGTGCAGTTAATGTTATTTCACTTTAAAATCTAACGGAACTTGTGATTAAGATACTTAAACTGTATCAGTGTTCAGATACAATAATTTACGGCTTACACTGAGAAAAAGGATTAGTTTCGACAACTAAAGATATTTAGTTCCCGAGTTTTGACAATATTTGGGAACTGTTACCAAGGATTAGGAACTATTACCATAGGTTGGTAATTATAACTAAATATATTAAAGCTTGTAATATTCAAGAGGTTGTACCAAATCGTTGATTTAGTTGAAGGGTTTGGTAAATACTAATAAATATTTCTTTGAATTCCGTTCAACTTAACGTATGGTTTATAAAAGGATGTAAAAGCGTAACCAGACGGCAGCGTTGATCCGGATCAACTCGGGAATTAACTGCAGTTGATCCGGATTAAGTCCGAGTTAGTCCGGATCAATGCTGCCGTCTGTTTGAGCTTTTATTGAGCTCTGCTAATGCAGATAAGCTTTCTTTCAACACATGGTTTAGTCATAGTTACCAAATCTTAGTTGAGACAACCACGATTTGGTTTGAGAGCGGAACATATTCATGCTTGTGAGCCACCCTTAAAGAATGCTGAGCGCTCTCTGAGCACATACGAAGAGCACCAGCTGAGCAATGCACACAGTCCCACTTATTGAATCATTTGAATGGGCTAGTATGCCGACCATTGCATAAAAACTAGTGTTGGGCAGTATCGATACCAAAAATACTCAGAACTCGATTCTCAAAGGATCGAATTTGAGTACCCTAAAGAACTTAGTACTCACAAAATAACTCGAATGTACTCAAAAAGGGAACCCGAAAGTACTCAGAACTTAAAATAACTCGAAAGTAGTCAGAAATTAAAAGAACTCGAAAGTACTCAGTGCTCAAAAATCTCTGTTCTAATAAACGCTTTTATACATGCGCTAGGTAGAGGAAGACAAGTGTGTGCTTTGACATGCCCAGACTTGTTTGTCTCAGCTTCAGTTTTTCTATCGCCGCGAGGTGTTTCGGTGCGCGCATAGTTATTTTAAAATATAAAGTTTGATGCCAACCGGGGTTTCTCAGTGGATATATAATTCATGTTAATTATAGTTTGAAAGTGTCTGCTTTGCCAAGGAAAAGGCAAAGCAATATACTTAAACCAGCACTTCCAGCAGATATTGACCCGGGTT